CTAGACTGTTTGAATTTCTTAGTATTTTCGCAGTCAATACTTACAGAAGGAGAACTCCAATAACCCTCAGTGCTACGTCTATTTATAAAGCAACAATGACATCTCATGGTGCTCTGCGGTCACATTTATGTGCCAATGAACTTTTAGACCAAGATGAGAAAATGCACAGGGCAGATTTAGCTGGGCTTTGCCTGGCCCTGAATTCAGCACAGAGCTGTGTCTCTAATACTGTACTTGCTGGTACATGTCAATCAGACAGGACATGAATAGGCCTGGCTTTTTAGACCCTACATTCTAGTTAATTACTAAGACGTACATTAAAAGTTTAAAATATATGACAGCGAATACTAAGGAAGACTTATCTTAAGGTCTACACACCAATATCCTGATACAAATATTCGGCAGAATATAAATATTAGCAGCTCACATTTCTTTTTTTTTNGGTCATCAGAGTCAGCATTTGAACCCTAAACTATTGTTATCTTCAGTTTGCAAATGAGGAAACTGACAGCCAGAGGTTCTGTTTATCAGACTTTTAGAAAACTACTTGGTAGAGTAATGTGCAAAACACCACCTGACTTGGAACCCTTCGCCTACATTTTCCTTAGTTCTACAAGCTGGGTCACACATGGTGGTTGGCAGGAAAGCCACATTCAACCAAGGAAAAGAAACTGGATTCTGGAAATGCATTGAAGTTGATGATAAAATTCAGGCTTAAGTATCCAAACACTGCAAGGCAGGGAGCATCCTTCCCATGAGCTCAGGCGATCAAGGATGGACTATGGTGAGGTGATGAGCCACAGACAGCCAGATGGGACAAGGGCAGTCTGGGATGGGGGAGGGGAGGAGCTGACCCCAGTAATGCTGTATGTGCCAGAACCCCTATGTGCTGGTAAGAGAGACCAAAATCGACCACTAACACCTTTATCTCTCTCAAGAAATGATAAGGAAGATAGAACAAAATGGTATAAAATATCCAAAATCAAACAGGGTAATTCTACAATCTGCATTGCTCATTTGACAACAAGCATTGGATAAAACAGGAATAGCCTTGAGACTAAAAAATAAATATGCTGTAATCTGCCGCAGATTACCACACTGAGCTCCCTGCGTCATACGGCAGCTTCCCACGAGCTACCTATTTTATACATGGAAATGTTTCTATTTCACCGCTGATCTTTCAATTCATCCCACCCTCTCCTCCCCACAAGGCTCTTCTCTATGTCTGCGTCTCTATTCCTGCCCTGCAAATAGGCTCACCGGTACCATCTTTCTAGATTCCATAAATATGTTTTAATATATGATACTTGTTTTTCTTTTTCTGACTAACTTTACTCTGTATAAGAGACTCTAGATTCATCCACCTCACTCAAGTGGGTAGTGAGGGGTGGGAGGAGGTTCAAGAGAGAGGGGACATATATGTACTTATGACTGATCCACATAGTTGTATGGCAGAAGCCAACACAATACATTATAAAGCAATTATCCTCTAATTAAAAATAAATTAAAATTAAATGTTGTAATTTGCTAAAAAAAAAATTGTACTAAAAGGGCTGCTAGGGCGAAAACTCAAGAGTCAAAAAGCAAGCATCCCACCAAAGGCCAAGAAGAGAGCAACTGAGTTCCCTTCCTGGGGCTGAGCTGGGTTGCATCCCCACGAACAAGGACCTCTGGGTTCTCTGCAGACTGGGGTCTTCCTGTCTTTCTACCTATGTAACTTATTGAAAAATCCTTTCATAGTACTACATGCTAGGTCCTATCCTACTTTACAAATCTCATTTAATCACCACAACATCATGAGGTGGTGGTGGGGACTCGTGTTATCATCCCCATTTACAGATGTGGAAGCTAAGTCAGACAGAGGTGAAGTAGTCTGTCCCAGGTCACAAAGCAAGTAAACGGGAATTGAACTCAGATTAGCTCTGGAGTCTTCATTCCTAACCACTCTGCAACATAAAGGATTTAGAAATTTGGTCAATGATGTTCCTGTTGGTTTTCACAGATTCCTGAAATGTCACCCGAAATTACAAAAATGTCAAAACAAGTATCAAAGTCTTGATAGATCCTAGCTTGAAAAGAACAAAATTACAGACTCCATAAAATAAGCAACATTGCTACTAGAGTCCTAAATGACTAAGTAGTCTTTCTTGAGAAAAAGCATGCATGTATACACATACCTGCATAAATATTTACATAAGTATATAAGTATACAACTTATGTATATAAATCATAAACTCAACAAACTACAGATGGTTTCTTCAACTGCAAAATTTGCTTTTGAGTGGAGAAATAGAAGAAAAGCTTAAGATCCCATGGGTCAGTTTATCTCCCTCTCTTTCTTGGACTGGCTCATTCATGGTTTGCAAAGCCCTCATTAGTAGGATGACGGCAGTGGCCTTGGAGGACAAAGTAGCAATGCCTAAGTTCATAGCCCTCTGTTTCAGGGTAGGACTTTCTTGGACAGGGTGGGCAGCAGGGTAGAATAGAGATGAAAGTCTAACGGTATTGTAATAGGAAAAGATGAGCTTTAAAAATATGGTCTAGTTCACAACCAAAAGGATCATTAATTCAATATTGTTTTGTCTTTATATTTTACATTTGTCATGTATTATACACTGAGCAGCTGCCAGCTCCTATAAAGCATTCAGAAACATGCACATTCAAATTAATGTTTGCTGGAAAACAGTATTCCTTCCAGATGAAAAGCAAATTCTCTTTTAATTTCTTCTCCAGAGACCCAGATTGAAGAGTTAAGGTCAGAAATGGCCAGGCAGCTAATAGATCTGATGGCAGTCCCTGTATATTTAGAGAAAGGCTGTGTGGCCACTGAGTCATCGGTAGGAAGAAGGTGCCCCTTATACAAACACATGAGCTCATCCACTGTGTGCTTCTTAAGCGCCTCCTCTTTGTCAGCACTGCAGACACGATGGTCTCACTGCACAACATCACTGCCTGCACCGAACTGGTGGCTCAGGCCAGGAGACGGGCGGTCAGACGACCAGGTTAGTGGGCAGAGAATTACAGACAGACAGCAGTGACCTAAGAACAACAGTGTTTTGAGGGCCTGTATGTAGAAGAGGGCAGCGGAGGACAAGGCGGTTAGATAGCATCACCGACTCAATGGACATGACCTTGAGTAAACCCCGAGAGAGACTGAAGGACAGGGAAGCCTGGCGTGCTGCAGTCCATGAGGTCACAGAGAGCTGGAAGGGACATAGTGACCGAGCAGCAAATGTTGGTAAAGAAGCTGGCTGAGAGTTAAGGTCGTGGGGGAGGCAGGCTGGAATGGGTGCTCTAAAATGTAGAGGAACATTCCACACAGAAGGAAACACTAATAAATAAAAGTCACACACATGCATGTAGAAAAGTCTGTGGTTGAATAAGCATAGCATCTTCAAGAACTGAAGGAGGGCCATGTGGATGAAATCCTAGAGAGACAGGTAGGAAAGAGGTGAGGAGAGTGGTGGATAATTAGCCTGAGAAACCAGACAAGGGAAAAGACCATGCAGGCCCTTGTAAAACCCATTAAAGATGGGGATTTTATCCTCAGACACAGAGGAAAATACCGTTGTGGAAAACCATGGTCAAATGCATTGTGAAGAGGCTAGGTTTTCCACTGATGTAGAAGGCTGTGGGAACTGGTCACTTGAACTTTTCTTTTCAAATGTACTTGAAATGTACTTATTTATTTATCTACCTATTTTTTACCTCTTTATTCATTCATTTATTTTCAGCTTTACTGAGGTTATCACCGATTAATACAAATTGCATATATTTAGGATATATAACATTTTTTAAGAGGTACAGTGTGATGATGTAATATACATATTTAGATATTGTGACCTGATTTCCACAATCAAGTTAAGGAACACACCCATCACCTCACAGTGAGCCTAGGCTTTAGAAGTCATGAAAACCACAGACATATCTAAGTGAATGGTGGGCTATGAATCATGACAAGTCACTTCATAAATGTAAATGGACCAAGTCAAGCTGTCTGTAGCTTTCTTCTTACTGATCTTACTGTTCCCCACCCGCTTCAACCCTCATCTTTTCCACTTTAGGCAAGACAGTGATTCAACACAGTGAAGAATGAGTGAACGGGTGGCTCTACTGATTTCTCAAGAGGCAAAAGGATATAAGCACAGCTACGGGTACCATCTGAATACACGTAACACATGCCAGGGCGAGGTTTCATAGCCCCTTAGCACCTTCCCTGGGCGCTCAGACGGTAAAGTGTCTGTCTCAGGAAGATCCCCTGGAGAAGGAAATGGCAACCTACTCCAGTACTCTTGCCTAGAAAATCCCACAGACGGACGAGCCTGGTGCAGGCTACTGTCCATGGGGTCGCAAAGAGTCGGACAGGATTGAGTGACTTCCCTTCACTTCACAGCAACTGTATAAGCCAACATCACTAGGTCTTGATCCCTTGCCCATTAATGCTTTGTAAACCAGAATGAAGCAAGAAGGGCTTACTTTCCAAGGAAACTCAGCTCACTACTCTGTAGGCATGATGAAGGTGAACCCTTTCCAAAAAGAAAAAAAAAAAATACAGAAAGATACATATATTGACATAACGACTTTTTCAAATAAGGTCCCTGGGTATCTGTGCAGTAAGAGATCATGTAATGTTAATTGTTTTGTGAAGGTATGGGGGGTAGGAAAAAACTACCCCTTACTCGAGATTGCAAATATGACCTTCATGGTTTTATATCTAGTTGCCCTTCTGAATAAAGGTACTTCAGATCTGATGCAAGGTTGACACTGAACCTCTAGGAAGCAGACTTTTCCAGGATAGACCTGCACTTGGAGCTACCTTATGACTTTAAATCAATGATATTTATGTATAAAGTCTCCAAGAAATGTGCAGAGCCACTCTGTCTCCCCAGGGTTTGTGCTTTCTCTGCCTGTCAGAGTCGTGCTTGGCATCATGCTGGGCGTCCGGCCTCCCTTTGCAGCCACTTTATTTGTAAGAGTGTCTTGTGTGTTCTGTCTCCTAGCTCTACATACAAACCACCACGCTTACAATCTCCATGAACCTAAGTGCATCAGTGGCGCTGGGGATGCTATACATGCCGAAAGTGTACATCATCATTTTCCACCCTGAACTCAATGTCCAGAAACGGAAGCGAAGTTTCAAGGCAGTGGTCACGGCAGCCACCATGTCATCGCGGCTGTCGCACAAGCCCAGTGACAGACCCAACGGTGAGGCCAAGACAGAGCTTTGTGAAAACATAGACCCAAACAGTAAGTATCTCTCCCTTCCTTCCGTCTCCCCGTCCCACATCAGGAAGCTCTGGCAGATGTGGTGTATGCTTGCCTTTCTTTGGAGAAAGGCTGTGCGCGCTCTTGTCTTCTGGGCTGGGTCGCCTTGGCGAATGCTGCCGTTTGCTCCTAAGAGTGTGCTCACCACTTTCTTTTTGCTCCCTGTTGGGAAGCAGCTTTCAGAAGCTCTGCTTAAGATGTGTGAAATCTCCCCCATCCCTGGCTTCTTATCCTTTGGTCCCAAGCCCTCCAATTGACATCAACACAGCTATGGAGTCACCTTCCTTGTTCCCTTCCTCTTAGGGGATCAACTTCCTGCTGGGGAACCTCAGACACCCCATTGAACTGTAGCAATAGGGATGAAGTTGAAATATTTAAGAACTTTGGAAGCATAACTTCTTTCCACTGGGACATGAATGTGGAGAAATTTACGATTCCTTACTAAGGAAGACTTCTAGAAACAAAAATCACATCAGATATTTGAATAGAACAGGGAAACTTCCATCCAAGTATATAGGCCCAGACACCACCATGCTAATGGCCTCCCCATTTGGGAAAGCATCTACCAGATCACTGCAGAGGAGTTTTAGCCCATGAAAAATAAAGTATTAGAGGTGAGATTAAGGATGAAATGCCAGATTTTATGTCTTTGTGGCCTGTCTGCTAATCCCGCATGGCCTTTAGCCATCCCTGCAAATGACCGCAAAGAAGATGGACATACAGACACTAGTTTGTTTAAAACAAGAAAAGAAAAAGAAAGACAATTTTAGCCAGATTTAGATGCTTAAAATTCCCAGTTGCAAACTTTACTAGTACTATGGTGGTAAGAGTGAATTGCAGATTAAACATACCACTTCCAGGATTTGTTTTCCAAGACAACACTTCATAGGGCTGCAAAGAGCCAGACACAACTGAACCAACTCAGTGTGTATAGAATGAAGCAGATTGGTGGGTTCATGATATTTCCTATTTTAACTAGAGGAGGGATTCGGGCCGGCCATTATGCCATTCAAGACACACTGTCCAATTATGACCTGATTTTGTTGTACCCAAAGATTTACCACCAAGCAGAAAGCAATTCCGTTGTTCTGAATACTCTGAGGTACTCCTTGACACTCTACAACTGAGATCTTAAAAAACCAGCAAACAACTGAATTTGGCCCTGAAAGCTTTTGACAACAGCTGTACAAAGATCCATGATCTCAGTCCAATCCATTTCTCAATAGTTAGCTGAATAAATACAGTGACTGCTTGAGAGTCTGTAGACAAGGAAACAAATGCCCATTACCAACGTCATGGGCTTCACCTGCATGTTTCAATAGAAGAGATTTGGGGACAGGCAAGAGGAGGGAGAAACCACGGAGGTACAGGCTCTGTTCTTATGTGCGCAGAACAAATGATCAGTTCCAGGAAGGGGAACAGAGAGAGAATCACTGTGACAATCACTGTGGCATAGGAAAAGACTTCGGGTTGAGACAGACCTCAGTTCAAAGCTAAGCCACTCCACTCAACAGCTGTGTGGCTTTGACAATCACTGAGTTTTCCTCAAGCTCAGCATTCTCATGTATTAAATGGAGATAATGATATCTATATCATAAGCACATCATCATGTCTCGGGCATCTAGAGACATGTGTGTCAATTACATGTTAATTTTCTTCCACTTCTGAACAGGTAAAAAGGTTAAAGGCATACCAAACACCACAAGGAAGATGCAACTGGCCAATAAAAATACTTTTGTGAACATATTTATGCATATTTATATGCATTCTGTATTGTTAAATATACTACATGGTTATACTTCTATAGCCTAGGACCCCTTGCAGGATTTGCATTATACAAAACCCTTACCCTGAAGATGTTCCAATAGCAGTTTTACATTTATATTTGTGCAGACACACAAATTTAACAACATATGCCCAATACTGATAAAAAGAAAACATGATCAAAAGTCTATATGTATTGAACATTCATGATCAAATTAGAAATTTTGAATTGGGATAATTAATCTAATACTGCACTACTTAAAAATAACTAGCTTTCAAACAACATTTCTACTGTTTCTAACCTTTAATGATGAGGATCTACCCTTGTTGAGGCTGTGTGGGGTATGCTACTGGCTGTTAAAATGTTTATTTTAACATGACCCTGATAATAACAAAAACACATCTGCTATCCTTTGAGATAGGCATTAAATAGAATGCTCTGGGTGGGAGATCTCTCTTACTCTTCCCGATAACTCTGTAGGCCAGTGACCATTCGTTGTCCTTTTACTGAAAAACCCTAGGATCAGGAAGGTGAGAGATTATCACAAAGTCCTACACTACATAGCAGGGCAGCTTGGTCTGAAACCCAGGTCTGATCCCCAAACCCATGCTTGCTGCTCTCTGCTGCTCTTTCCCACAACATGAGTGATATGTCATAATCCTAATGCAGAAATTACTCTTTGGGCTTCTCTGTTTGGTAATCCAGCTTGCATATACAGAATATAATGATGTCTGGTGGCCGACTCTTTGGTGAAATGTGCTGTGAAACGCATCGCTGTTTGCTATGTTGTCTGCAAAGACAGGAGCTCAAAGAAGGCTGCCTGGGTAGAGGCCTCATCTGACAACTCAAAAATCCAAGTATCTTAATTACCTGTGTCAGTCACGACAGTCATTCTATTTGGGATTCATCTGATGCCTTTTCCTTGAAAAAGTTTTGTTGGGTTTTGTCATTGTTGATATTTTGGTGTCTACACAGAATAAAGATAAATAGTTCAAGGACGGGGGGAAAAAAAGATGAAATCCAAAAGAGCCTTTGTCTCACAGTAAATCCAAAAGATGTTTTAAAAATTATTTTAGTTATTTTGGTTTTGTGTAGACACTCCCTGAAAGTAACCATCAATAATGTGCCCAGGTATTTGCTGAATTATAGGAGGAGATTCATGTACCTCCAAACATTGGGGTTTCTGATGACCCAACTCTCAAAGGTCCTTAAGAAAAGTCAGAAGACCTTTTCTGTGCAAAATCTGTCCAGTAGAGTTTTCTGCAATGATGGAAATGTTCTCTATCTGTGCTGTCCACTATAGAAACCACTGGTCACATGTGGTGATTCAGAACTTAACATATGGCTACTTAACTGATGAAATACACTTGAAATTTTTACTTCATTTTAAATAAATTTAAATAGCCATCCATGACTCCGAGGACTCCATCGGAGAGCAGAGCCAGAGATCATAAAAGCAAAGATTTCACTCTGGGACACTCGGTTTGAGCCCATACTGGAAATACCTCCCAAGGTTTTAGCAATGATGCTGAACTGGGACAAAGTCAACTTAACAGAATGAAATATGTGAGGTAAGACAAAAATGCAAACCTATAGTTATTTTAAATGACCCCTAAGGAGCCACTAAGATGGGAATGGTACATCATAGATCACCATTATATCCGGAAAACCAGTCCCTAGTAATAGAAAAATGAGTATATATATAGAAAGAACAGTAGTGAAAATTCACTTAATGAAAATAGACAAGGCTGTTTTGATGAGAGAGATTATTATTCTATTCTACTTAATACTGAATGTAGCTCCAAGTAATGTCAAACTCCTGAACTTTGGTAACAGAGACAAATAAATTATTGGCTGAAATAAAACTTTCTGGTTAAAAAGAAACAAATAAAAGCACAGACCATGGGCCTGAGGAAGGACTGTCTCTCCAAAGGGAGAGTTCTGCCTACTGTTCTCTGAGGGAGTGTGTCTGGGAGGATGTTGAATTTATAGGATGAGCGACCTTCTTGTTTCCCTAAACACTTAGTCTCAGTGTATTTCAATCTTCAGTGTTTTCATTTTTAATCATTGCAGTTTGTCATCTGGTGCATGCTCACTTCTATTCATCCAACTCCATACAGCAAGTATACATTCATATAAAAACAAATGTGTTGGCGTGATATGGGCAGAAATTAAAGCTGCCCGTGCACTGCTTGATTTTTCCCCAAGAAGTTTGGTTTCCCTCTTAGGTTGCCTCTTCAGTTCAAACTTCATTGCTTGAAAGAAAAAGTTCTTTCTGCATGGATTCAACAAAATGTAAATCTTCTCAAAAACTGTCATGCATCTCTGTACTGCTGCCATATTGAATATCCAGAACTGGGTCGATGCTGGTTGGTTTCTGAGCTCAGATGAAAAAACAGCAGGGGGTCTAAGGGTGTAGCTCCGCAACTTACTGTATTTTTATTTATACAAGCCATATTTCTGCTGCTAGAGGACCACAAGTGCCTGACCTAATGTGGGGAGCTTTAGATCTGGCCACCACGAAGCCTTCTCCACATTCCTTCTCTAAGAAGAAGGGCATCTCAACCTCCGGTTCTCGCACCTGTGTCCTGAATTAGGCTCATTTCTCCCAACTTTCTGTTGTTGACTTGGCAGGTGTATGTTCATGGCAAACTTGAAGATGCCAGATCAACTGGAGGACTTGGTTCTTGGCTTATCTATGGCCACCAAGACCTTTTTCCAGTTGGATGAATAATATTAACTGAGGCAGCATGGCTTTATTGAGATGGTGGGTAGGAACTGCTTCCTTTCTCGCCTGGAGTGGTCAGAACCAGAAGATGCTCTGTGAATTATCCTCTGATCAGATGCTTTCCTTGTAAAGGATTGCAGTACACAGAATGAACAGCCCTAAGCTACCTGGTTCTAAACAACCATCCATTTTCTGAGCCAGTGCCCCAGTCAGTGCAGAGGAACTGCTCATGTACCCGGAATGGTTACAAATAGTTTACTCTGTGGCTTCCTAGCGATTAGAGATGGCAGGAATGTGGACAGCTGGGGCACCCCGCCTTTTTGGATATGGGGCAATATGACTGATAAAATGACTTGGAGAGAGAAGCTGGACACACACTGTGCAAAAGACTAGTTTAAGACAAGGAGCATATTGTGATGAAGCACATTTTAGAAGAATGGCCATTTACCACTGAAACAGAAAGTCAATAATAAGATTTTAAATATAAGTTTGTATTCTGGTCCTTTGTTGGAAATTACTATTTGCATATACTTAGGGAAAATATATAAATAAAAATTTGTGCTGCTCAATAAATCCCTCAACTGCTAGAAAATGGATGAGGGCACCACAATCTACCCAAGTAACAATGCTGAGAAAATCCTGGAACATGCTCCTGTGCTGTGTCAATTGGTGATGGCTTTTGTTTTGTTTTGCTTGTTCATTTGTTTGGATTCCTGACATTCTCCACATTATGTTACTTGTTTCATTCTTCTGGACTAATCACGCAGGTCAGCATGAAAGGTCTAGGCTGAGGAAAAATTAGGATATCAACAGGAAGAAAAAAAAAAAAAAACCTTCTGAGCAGGTAGATACATTATTTTGGAGCTGGTTCCCTCACCCGCTTCAGTTAAAGTAAAGCCCAAATGCAAGGCACCAATACTCCCATGTTCAGAGGTACCTGAATTGTGGTCAACTGGTCTACCAAAAGCTACTGAACCCACTGAGAGAGTGGGCTTAATGTCTGTGGTCTCTATCGCAGCCTCTTCTCCAAAAGGAAAGAAAAAAAAAATAAAAAGGAATATTGTGTGCACATTTATTTTATACGTACCTATATATTTACTTTTCCTGTAGACTGTATACCACCAGTAAGAAAGAGTGTACAAAAGTCTGTTACTTGGTACACTATACCACCAACAGTATAGCTTTTGCCTGCTTTCCAAAAGGTAAGAAACAATCTACTTTTTGTTTATTTGTGTGTTCTTGTCTCCATTGAGAATTAGAAATGTTTCCATGAAAACTGTGCATGATTACCTCAAAATCTATGTATATGAAGAAATGCATTTTCAAAGACGATGTTTGCTAAGTTTAGTGTAGATGGCTGCTCTGGGTCACATGCCTGGTTTATTTTCTGGAGAACAGGTGATTGGGTGTGTGCATATGTGTCTTTCCTGAACCAGATCCAGTAATGGCAGAATTGGTGCTGGTCACTCTACTTTAAAAGTCTCAATGGTGAGAGCTTATTTTTATATGTATTTGTTCATACTCTGGTTTGCGAAGGCAATATGGAAAACTTGGGTGAGAAGGAGGGTGTTTTTACAAGCTTAGTAAAAATATTTGTCCTGGTTTACTTTTTTATTAAATATATACTGAGATATATCAATGAATGACTCTATCATCTCAAACCCAAAATGGTCATGGTTCCTTTTTTGAAGCAAATAAATAGAAAAGCTTTGCTGGCTGGGCTTGATGATGTATTAAAGAGGATATGGGACTCATAATTCTGCCTAAGAGAAACAAGGAACCACCTTCACTTATCTGAGGAAAGCAGGTAGAGGTTCAGCGAAAGACCTCAAGAGTCTAAAGATAAATTTCAACATTAGTCAAACCCAAGAAATACCATTAAATACCTCAGGTGTTCAAACTTATACCTTCGAACAGATGGTCAATTGTGTGATGTGTGAACAGGCATGGGAATGGTCTGCTCTGAGAGTTGTTACAGACTCACCATTGATGATTATATTGGGTTGGGCAAAAAGTTCATTCTGGCTTATCTATAACATCTTATGAAAAAAAACTAGAACACACTTCTTGCCCAAACCAGTATATCACTTTGAGCCCTTACTAAAGGATATATGCTATGAAATAGTAGTAGTAGTTATAGTAGTACCTTCCTGTTTCAGCCTAAGCAATGTGATAGAACAATGTAAAGTAAGACTTGCTTTGGCACGCAACCTTGTCCAACTGGTCAGGTCAATTCATACTGAAGGAAAACTAACAATAGAAAACATGGAATAGAGTCATTAAATTCATGGGGTGGCTTTGAAGAAAAGGCCCCCTTTTGTTTTCCTCTAAACCTCCTACTATACTTATAAAATCAACAGAAGGAGACTTCTCTCTAGAGATCTCAAGTAAGAGAGCAGACACTGGAGGGGGAAATATTGCACCATAATGTGGGCTAGTCTTCCTCTTTCCTAACGCGGACCATTTTGTCAGATCATTGCTATGCTTCTTTCCATATTTGTTTTTATAATGGTATTCTGAGTACAAATAGTATTTTTTTCCTTTTAATCCATTTAGAACTGTAAGACAGGACAAGAGTACTTTCAAAGTGTAATTACATTTCCTGTTGATTTAGATGGATGCCGGCAACTCTGTCTTTAATTTCAGATGTATTGTTCTCATAGCTATTCCCTTTTTCCATATCGACACGGTCTGTCCTAGTTTTTAAATAGGGCATTCTTTTGTCCCAGTGAATTTATAACTGTATTCCAGTGAGATTTCAAGTTTTGCAGTACAAGTGCTTGTCAAAACACTGCAGCTCATCACTTTAATAGTCCTTTTACATGAAACTGCCTGAGCATAAATGAGAAGGAAGTTTCCCTGGGTAAAAATGATAGATTGAATCCGAATCCATTAAAAATTCTCCCTACCTCCATTCTCAGCTGATGCCTTTTGGTTTAAAGGGTGCAAGATAAAAATGTTTGAAGTCAACCTCCTGGTTAAAAAGTACTTTTAGGATCTGCTGCTTAGAAATAAACTTTTTCTCTAGGATTTTCTTGTTTCAAAGAGTTTGATTAGGTGCTCACCTTTTCTGCCAATTTAAAAATGTATAAACCTTAATTAGGATGAATTGGTTAACAGTGCTTTTCAGGTCTACTGTATCCTTCTACTTTTCTGTCTATTCATTCTATTAATTTTTGAGAGCTTGATACTAAAACTAACTAAAAATATTCATCTACTTAAAAATAACTGTAATACATAGTAGAACTATATGTAACTTTGCTCTGTATTTTCCAAATCTTCTGTAAATGTTTTATCATAGTTTCATAATTTAAAAAATAAAAAAGAAAGAAGATTCAAAGATTATAGAAGTGGCTTCCTAAATTAATGATAAACATCTTACACAGTTACTTAAAAATATTTGGGTTGGGCAAAAAGTTCATTCTGGCTTATCTATAACATCTTATGAAAAAAAACTAGAACACACTTCTTGCCCAAACCAGTATATCACTTTGAGCCCTTACTAAAGGATATATGCTATGAAATAGTAGTAGTAGTTATAGTAGTACCTTCCTGTTTCAGCCTAAGCAATGTGATAGAACAATGTAAAGTAAGACTTGCTTTGGCACGCAACCTTGTCCAACTGGTCAGGTCAATTCATACTGAAGGAAAACTAACAATAGAAAACATGGAATAGAGTCATTAAATTCATGGGGTGGCTTTGAAGAAAAGGCCCCCTTTTGTTTTCCTCTAAACCTCCTACTATACTTATAAAATCAACAGAAGGAGACTTCTCTCTAGAGATCTCAAGTAAGAGAGCAGACACTGGAGGGGGAAATATTGCACCATAATGTGGGCTAGTCTTCCTCTTTCCTAACGCGGACCATTTTGTCAGATCATTGCTATGCTTCTTTCCATATTTGTTTTTATAATGGTATTCTGAGTACAAATAGTATTTTTTTCCTTTTAATCCATTTAGAACTGTAAGACAGGACAAGAGTACTTTCAAAGTGTAATTACATTTCCTGTTGATTTAGATGGATGCCGGCAACTCTGTCTTTAATTTCAGATGTATTGTTCTCATAGCTATTCCCTTTTTCCATATCGACACGGTCTGTCCTAGTTTTTAAATAGGGCATTCTTTTGTCCCAGTGAATTTATAACTGTATTCCAGTGAGATTTCAAGTTTTGCAGTACAAGTGCTTGTCAAAACACTGCAGCTCATCACTTTAATAGTCCTTTTACATGAAACTGCCTGAGCATAAATGAGAAGGAAGTTTCCCTGGGTAAAAATGATAGATTGAATCCGAATCCATTAAAAATTCTCCCTACCTCCATTCTCAGCTGATGCCTTTTGGTTTAAAGGGTGCAAGATAAAAATGTTTGAAGTCAACCTCCTGGTTAAAAAGTACTTTTAGGATCTGCTGCTTAGAAATAAACTTTTTCTCTAGGATTTTCTTGTTTCAAAGAGTTTGATTAGGTGCTCACCTTTTCTGCCAATTTAAAAATGTATAAACCTTAATTAGGATGAATTGGTTAACAGTGCTTTTCAGGTCTACTGTATCCTTCTACTTTTCTGTCTATTCATTCTATTAATTTTTGAGAGCTTGATACTAAAACTAACTAAAAATATTCATCTAGTTAAAAATAACTGTAATACATAGTAGAACTATAAGTAACTTTGTTCTGTATTTTCCAAATCTTCTGTAAATGTTTTATCATAGTTTCATAATTTAAAAAATAAAAAAGAAAGAAGATTCAAAGATTATAGAAGTGGCTTCCTAAATTAATGATAAACATCTTACACAGTTACTTAAAAATAATTGAGAACGGAAGTTTGTCTAAGTCACAGGTATTCAAAGAGGGGAGTGTATGACCACGTTCAAGTTCCAGTGAGACTGGACAGCTTGGGCAAACAGTGAAAGAAGACATGTCATGTTGTTCATTCAAATCCATCTCTATGTGCCTGTTTTCAGGGCCACAAAAACAGTAAAGAAAAACCTATCAATTCTAGAGTGAAATTCTGTAAAACTTCAATTTAGGCCACCATGCCTCAACAAAAGCACATGATATTGAGCAAATCAAACATCTGCTTTTGGGGATTTAGAGGAAGCAGGTTCAAATTCAGACAGAACTGAATAACCTGATTTGAAAGCACTTTCCCTGTAACCCACTCTCCTTTGACAGGTACAGTTTAGATCAGATATCGCCTGACTCAGCACTGTCTGCATCTCTTGTCTGAATGGTGTTAAATTTTGAAATTCTGCAGTGTTATCAATCTAGTGGTATTTATTTTAACTTCAATGAAGCAAAAAACAAAAACTGATCACACATAAATAAAAGTCCTCCATTAACCTGGCATCATCACCAGATCAGGAAATGGGTTGTCATGTTAGGAGGTACATTTTCATACTACAGGATGGTTTTTCTGATTGGAAAACTTTGAGTTGAATTCAGCCTTGCAAATATGGACAGTCCCAAGTCTGATCTTACAGTCTGCTTAATAGTACTGAACCCTGTTTTGTCCAGGTATGTTGTTCTGAGCAAGTACATTGGTTATAATATTATGGACAGTTCACTAATGTATTATGTGGTGGGGTACATTATTTATGTTTTTTATAATTTCTTGTTCATCATTTCTGCAATGGGGTTGTTTCACATTTTTAAGCTTTTCAGAAGTGTGCAATCTCAGTTTTTATAATGTGTTGACTCCCCCTTCCTCTTCAGCAATAAAGGCAGTAACCCTGAGTTAACTGAAGACTCCTTCAACTAAAATTCCATTTAAAAACACTCTATAAGTACAGCTTAGCAAGGAATATATGTTCCCTGGCCTTTGACATCGAACCACCTTAGAAATAAATGCAGCTACAAATCTTGCCAGCATATTTCTTTCTGCCTAAGTGCTCTGTGAAGTACCCCCATTTCTCTCACCAGGGTTTGATCTCGGCACCCTCAAAAACCAATTATCTGCCCTCCTTATTCTATAACTTTGGTTGGACTTAAAGAATGGGATGAAAGTCCACATGGGTAGGATGTCTACTAGTTCATGTCATCAAAGGAACACATACATCATTCCCCAGAGTCCTGAAAACTATGTCAACTTTGACATTGAAACCTGGC